GGGGGGGGGAGAACGGACCGGTACACGTGTGCAGAAAGCAGGGGTAAGTCGTCTTGCGGGCTGGCTGGGCATTGTTGCGCTGACAGGCATGCGTGTATATCTCACCGTGACATACCGATGGCAATGAGGGCCGGGACGAAAGTGTACTGGATGATGGTGGTGCCCTTGCCGACCAGGAAGTAGATGGCGTCCTGGATGGTGCGACCGGTCTTGGGGCCGATGGCGTTCACGTCGGAGGGGTTGGAGGGCTTGGCGCCGGGGAACATTGTGGTGACAGGGGGGGGGAGGGGAGAGCGCGGGCGCAGGTACCGACACAGGGGAAAGGAAGGAAGGGGGGGGGGGGAAAGGGGCGTGGAGCGGTCTACCGGGCGACTCAGGCGGAGCCGAGCGGTGCCCGAGATGGCGCCTCTCATGTGCCGGCGGGGGAGAGCCGCCCATTGGCCGGGGCGAGGGCCACAGGGGGGCGCGCTGGGGGGCCTGCGAGGGAGGTGGCGGGCAACAACGGGCATGCGCGGCCGGCCAACCACCCCCGCACCCGCCACCCCCGCGGCCTTGTGCTGCGTGGTGGCCCCACCCCCTCCCCCCCCCGGCTTTGGCTGGCACTCCCTCAGTTCGGTGTGAAGGGGGTGCGCGAAGCTGGGTCGGATGGGCCCTTTCTCTCTCTCTCTCTCTCTCTCTCTCTCTCTCTCTCTCTCTCTCTCTCGCTCCCTGGGTAAGTGGGGGGGGGGGGGGGGGAACACGCACGCGCGCGCACGCTGGGGGGAACCACCGCGGTTTCCCCCGCACGAGGGCCAGCCGCTTGAGGAGGTGTCTGCGCTCGGGAGCCCAGGGCCCATCAAAAGCCCCCCCCTCCCGCGCTGCCATGGGGGTGAATACATGGCTGGGGCACACGTTCCCCGGGCCAGCAGATCTCCATTCTGTGGCTTCCGACCCAACCCCAAACACAACAAGTATGTACATACTGATGATACCAGATCGGGGTTCGGGTCGTTCTGGGCGGGTGTATTTGCGGGGGGGGGATGTGTCCTGCCCCCGGAGGCCTCTCAGTCCTCGTCGAAGACAGTCCGCTCGGCGCGGCGTTTTTTGGCCTTGTTTGGTCGATTACGGGGCGCCTGCTCTGGTTGCTGGGCATCAGCCGGCGTCGGGGATGTGTCGCGTGCACGCTTGCTGCCTGTTGGGTCCAGCGTCCGGCCGATGACCTGCCTGGCCTCGGCAGCTGTGTGTGTGTGTGTGTGTGTGTGTGTGTGTGTGTGTGTGTGTGTGTGTGTGTGTGTGTGTGTGCGTGTGTGTGTGTGCGTGTGCGTGTGCGTGTGCGTGTGTGCGTGTGCGTGTGCGTGTGTGCGTGTGCGTGTGTGCGTGCGTGTGTGCGTGCGTGTGTGCGCGGCGATGCGCGTGGCGATGTGCGCGGCGATGCGCGTGGCGATGTGCGTGGCGATGCGCGTGGCGATGCGCGTGGCGATGCGCGTGGCGATGCGCGTGGCGATGCGCGTGGCGATGCGCGTGGCGATGCGCGTGGCGATGCGCGTGCAGGGGAGATGGGCCAAAGGATTAGCACCCCTGCACGGAGAAAAGCCCCTCCCTGAAGATGCAAGAGAGTGCACGCACCGCCAAGAAGCGACAGCTGGACATCCGACGCAGCTTCATCAAGCCCGATCGCCGGCAACAGGGAGGCCGCGTCGGCCGCGGCAAAGCGGGCCGCCACGTCGGCCGACGACAGCAGGAAGTGCGCCTACAGGAGTGGTGTCAGCACAGGTGGCAGGACGGCGGGAAGGAGGACGAAGGAGGAGGAGGCGACTCGAGCGCGGAGGGACAGTGCGCACCCATGCGGTGCCCCGACGGAAGTCCACACTGACCAGATTTGACTCGGCCACCGGGTCGGCCATGGCCAGCTCAAAGAGACGCTGCGCGATTTTGGACACAAGCAGGTTCTCGTTAGCCATGTGCAAGGTGGTGCACGCCGGGAGAAGGGGAGGGCGAGGGGAGCCAGCGACGGGCGCGAGGCAACACGGGGGGGGGGGTACCCTTAGCCGGGCGATGCCCATGCCTCGCGAGGGGAGGCCACTCAGGCGCACAACCGCCACAGCCGCCGAGATCTCGGCAGCCCTACCGGGCGGCGGGTCGGCGGCCCCACTGGACAGGACGACCGAATCATCGTCGCCATGCGAGACCTCACTGGTGGCGGAGATTTGGCCGGCGGCCGGCGAGGCAGCGGCAGCAGCAGCCGCCGCCAGGAAGCCCTTCAGCAACCGGTAGAGGGCCCGCTGCTGGATCCATGTTGATCTGCCGCCAGGGTGTCAGTCGCATGTGGCAAATGCCATGGGGACAGAAGCGAGGCCCGGTGGCAGTGGGACAGAAAGAAAAGCAAAGCCAGGCATGTTGTGTCTTTGTCACATGGCAACACACCGTTCCAGTGGCCTCAGCGCATGAAGGCGCCGGAGATCGTGCACGGGCGGCGGAATGGTCCCGGGCGCCGGGCACACCCGAAAGAGACAGTGTTCAAGCGAGTGGATCAGCTGCAGCCGGCTCAGCGCCAGTTTGGCCACCTCCGGGCTGGCATACTCCACAAAGGCATAGCCTGGACCAGGGCCATGCAGGGGGGAGGGGGTGGGGGGGGGGGGGG